AAGTGGAGTTTGAGAGACTTAATACATAAGAATATTTTTTCCTTTCATTTGAAGGATTTGTAAGAATCACCAAGGATCAGCAAAACTTAATCGTCCCCACATCAGAGTCATTGGTGGGTTGAATCAATATAGTGAATTAAAGTTCATTATATGAAATTTTAGTCATGACTATCATGTGAATGAAATTTATAACAAATGAAAAAAATCATAGTTCATTGAATTAGTGTTAGGATTAAAGTAGAGTTTGAGTTGACCCAATAGTAATTAAAGAAAATAGGTTTCTACGATCTTTGATGAAATTATTGAAGGCAGACTAGGAGTGGGGTTTTCTCCTATAAACGCTTGTGCAATGTTTTGATAGACTAATTATCCTAAGATATGTAGACCCTTCTGGCATAAAAAAATAATATCTCAAAAGTCAATAAATTAACCTAAGTTAGGAATATAGTGACTTGGTAAAAAATATGAACCTTGACACAACAAAAGATCTATTTGTCGGTCTAATCTTTATAAGTTGTAGAATGAGAGTTTAACTTTTTGAGGCACTATCTAGTTTTTGCTCCCCTCCGATAGTAAAAACCATTGTCAAAAGCGCTTCTCAAGATAATCCCTCCAACACCTAAGTAAAAAATCCCAAAGCGGTGATACGAGGAGTGAGGAGAGAGTGGAGTGCATCAAAACAAAAAATTTATTCTTTGTAACTAATGGTCTATAATTTAAAGTTTTTGGAAAATATTATATAAATATTTCATGCTTCAAAGAATATTTCATTGTGTCCTACTTTGAATGTTGTCCCCATCAATAAATGTAACTAGTTTTCATCATATAGTTAGAGACACCAATACTTTGGCTCATGAATTAATAACTTTACTAAGAGATCAGGAAATCACTAATTGATAAGAAATTAAACAACTAGTTTTTCTTTCAAATATAAAAATTAGAAAAGATAAGTTTTGAACTAATATGTGGAGCGAATTCTCGCTCTCCTTCCCTTCTCCCTCTTCATGACTGCTCGGTCTAATAGTACGTAATTATATTAGTTCTAACATATGACATATGTCCATGCGTCTTGCTACTGCTTTTCCTTCTTCTATGGTTTTGTTCTGATAAGTTTGATATGGCGGGGATTTGTAGAGCACTCCCTGCATTAAGATCGCTACTGCAATTTGCGCGGAGCCATGCGAAGCTGCCGGCCACTCCCCGACGGCGATCCTCCACGATCTGATCCAACCACTGCCGTCGAGGCTCAATTCGCTGCTGCATTACCACATGATGATCCAGGGAAGCGCTCGGAATAAGTTTGCCCATGCAACGTTTTTAAGGTACCTAAAAATAATCCACGTTGCTAATTGATTGAGTTCTCAGCGATGCTGTTGTGTCTGTGTGTCTTTGATATCAAAAACATGAGCGGGAAGAAGGTTCCTGCGTTAATTGGATTGTCAACAAGAAGGTTTCTGCGTTAGCTCATAGTCTGCTGTTTAGGCAATTTTGTTGCCACTTGTAAGCAATGAAATAGTTGCTTTTTTCTTTCAAAAATAAAAATCTGAAAAGATGAACTAATACGTCCCCTTTTCCTACTACCAAATCCGTTCTTGGTATTGCTCTAAATGCACGGAGGATTCCCAGAAGACAGGCAATTGTGTTTTGGTAATTTTGTCGCCACTTAATTGGTAAGTAATGTAATAGCTGGTTTTCCTTTCAAAAGTAAAAATCTGAAAAGAAGAACTAATGCGTCCCCTCTTCCTTGTACCAAATCCGTTTCTGATACTGCTCTAAATGAGCCATCGCATTCTCCTCTATTTAAAGGCCAATCTCCCTCCTCTCACATGCACAGAAAAGAATACACATCGGAAACCATGGCATCCCGCTGCTCCACGATGATGCTCGCTCTCCTTGTCTTCTCCCTCGTCATCATGACTACTCAGTCTACCAGTACGTAATTGTATTAGTTCTAATTTCTTCTCGGTGGTTTTGGTCTGATAAGTTTGATCCGGCGGGGATTTGTAGACTACTACTCCTTGGACGAATATAGGAACTGCGATATTGTTGGGGAAGGCTGCACGAAAGACGATCAATGCGGGTATATATGCAAAATTTTCGGTCGCTCGAAGAAAAACGTCCTCTGCATTCCCGATCCATTCCACAAAGACCGTGGCAGTGTTTGCTGCTGCCTTATTTAATGATGAACCGAGGAAGCGTTGTAATAAGCTCGCACACGCAACATTTTTAAGGTACCTAAAAACAATCAAGTTGCAGAATTGATTGGGTTGTCATCCACGCTATTGTGTCTGTGTTTATCTTTGATATCAAAAATAGGAGCAGCAAGATATGCTCCATTTCTTAATTGAGAAGTTTTCTTATTATAATTTTGTAGCAAAAAGGATTCTGAAAATATTCTGAACAAGACATGAGAATAAGGAATTATTTTGAATATTTATAATTTAAAATTTTGAATTTGTCACAAGAAGAATTTGGAAGGTGGTTTAAAAACATCGTATGACATTCTAAACATGTTAAAACTCAAGGGAATGTGTGATTGTTCTGTTTCTACCAAAGTAAATATGTATTCTCTACTAGTTTATTTTCTTGTGATATTTTCTTTAATAAACTTCATATATTCCTTATGAAAAAATTAAAATCTTAAAAAGGATCTCATCCCGAGTTTTCGGGGTATTGGTGGTACCATCGCTAGTACTAGCTAGTACCATCACCTGCAGATTGACACTAGGCCACTACCTGATAGCCTCGGAGATTGGAACATTGGAGACTGAGCCTGGTCTTGTAGTGTCATTGCCTAATCAACTTTTGGGTCACTGAACGGGCTTCCCAATGGGCCAAAATCAACCCTAGAACAAGCTCAATGGGCCCCTAATTGAGTTGGTCTAATTATATTCAAAACCAACTCAATTACAACCTAGACTACTTCAATCAAGACACAATTGATTACAAGCAATCATATGTTGTCCGACATGTCATTGGTTCATTCGGCACTTCGTCCGACCTTTCGACGCATCGTCCTTTCCTTCGACGTATTACCCAACTGACATGTTGACCTCCACAACATCCGATCTCCTTGGCGTAATTTTTGATCCTTCTGGACCGATACTCGAACTCATGTCACAAAGCCTTTTATCAATAGGTCAATCAACCCTCTGGCTCGACGTTTAATCTTCTGATATGTTCGTTCAACCTCTGATTTCACTATTTTAATTGATTTATTTTTTCCTGATTAAAGCTAGGCTTGCATCACTTAAATGCACATTAGATCATAACTTTATCAATTGGTTTCATCATCAAAATCTAAGATTCAACGACAACCTAATCCAAACGAGTATAAATGCGAAAAATGTATGAATCTATTGTTACTGAGAGAATCATAAAAACCTAAATCTAAAATCTAAAAGACCTATATTATTAATGGAATTTAGAAAGCTAGTAACCGAAGCATTGAGAACAAAAGGCCTATCACCTTAGCTTATCACCCATACAAGTATTATATTTAAGGTCACCACACAACAATTATGAAATATCTTGCAGATTGAGATTACTAAGAAAAGACTAGTGAGAGTTACGGTGCAAGATCAATGTGCTAGCATATATATTAGAGAATAGCCAGGGATGCATACCATTTTGTTGGGTAATGAAATGCTGGTCATCCTTTCTAATTAAAGAACATCAAAGGATGTCGTTATTCCATATTATGAGAATTCTATCCAATTTGCCTCTGGCCAAGTAGAAATCATTATCCCAACTTGTTTTAAGTGGCTCAATTTTGCATCGGCAAGGAACATCTTCCTGCAAATGTTTTCTAAGAGCAAAACAACGTGGATCGAATGAGTTTTAGGTAGATAGGAGAGGTGTTGTATATCACTTTTCCTATGAGCACTCCTATAGTTCTAAATATAATATTCATTGAGAGTTAGGATTCAAGGGAGATATAGTCCAGAGACATTTATGCCTCTCTAGGGTATCTCATACCTATCACGATGGGAGACATATTCTTCCCAGACGAGGAATCTCTTTCTCAATAATATATAGAAAGACATTACTCAACGAGATAAGTTCATCTCCTAATATCAAATAAAGAAAACATATATTGCACTCCGAACAACAAATATAGTGATATCTCTTACCTGCTACAACAGGGATACGTTCCTCCCAATAACATAAGGAGGAATAGGCTATCATGTAAAAGATACTCTAATCCGCAAAGGAGAATCACCTTTCAGTATATTGGCCTTTCTGCAATTGACAAAGATCATCCAAACCCGTCTTAACATATCATCATACCATCGGACGGATCATACTAGGATGATGGTATAAGACATTCGATCTCATGGGTGCTACTAGAAATTCTATTGACATTTGACTTAGTAGAGTCCGTCAATCAGGTTTTGATTGATTGAGTTCAGTTCATCGACGACATCAAATATTTCTAAAATCGTCCATCTATCTATCTGGAGTTGATCCCCAAATATGGAGCCCACAAAATTGATTTTGAGATCAACAAAATTCTAGCTGGACTACATGCGCGTCCACAAGTAGGTACATTTTGTTTTCATGAAACCCTTCAAGGTTTGATGTCATAAATATGTTCCAATATTTTCGTTAAATTTCACACAAGACTAAGAGGGGTTTAGGTGCAGACATTATCTGCTAGTTATTATGAGAGCTCATCAAGTACTCGTTATGAGCCATTCATTATCTGCTAGCCATGGTGAAGACAAGACAGGTGTTTATACTGAACAACTTGAAGCATCGGCCAAGAAGAAAAGGCACAAGAGAACCAACCTTCACTCTGCTGTATTCAGTGCAGCAGACTCAAAGGAAGCTACTGTGTTTCAAGACAGGTGTTTTCCTTTGATGATGTGCTCTCTTTGTAGTTGATTCAGCTTGATCAAGCTGTCATATCGTTCACCTCAAGCCACATGAAACACTTCTTGGAAGGCTGCTTAGGCATCCTCGAATCTACCATTAGATTTCGGGTTAAGTCATGTTCATCATTCAGCCAATTTAGATTAAGTATCAGAACGCAACACACCACCACATTGTGCTGTTGTTACTGCTCCGAGGGAACCCATTCATCCCCCTGGATAAAAGTTTCCACAGAGTACAATCCGACATGCTCCGAGGGAATCTGACTGCTCCACCCCACCCTGGCCGCCGCATTCGCCCCGGGCCCTGAACTCCCGTACTCTCCGTAGAACAGCGTGCTCAACGCGAAATCTTCCCTCCATGGCAACCACCCCTCCGGCATCACCACCTCCCCCATGTAACAATTCACGTACACCGTCCTCGAGTACTCCTTCCATGGCCGCCCGAGGTACGCCCGGTGCGCCCCTGGCTTCCTCTGGTATGCAGCCAAGTAGTCGTCGCTCCCATTGATAGCGCAGCCACTGAACACGAAGCCGGTCGCCTGGGCAGGGTCGGTCCGTCCGTGGGCGGCCACCGGGTTGCTCCCTGCCTTCCTTGGCCCTTCCGCGCGTGGGACCACCTCGATGACGCACCGATCGAACACCGACGCGGAGTTGCCGAAGATGAAGTCTACCGTGCCGGCGATGCGGCATTTACGGTAGAGTTGCCGGAGGGAGCGCGCGTACAGGGTGTCTTGGTGCCCACGGAACTCCACCGATTCGAGTATGGATTGATCGCTGTCGGAGCGGAAAGCAACCGCCTGGTGGGCGCCAGGGCCGGCGGTGTTCTCGAAGGTGAGATCTCGGGCTGCGAAGCCGTCACCGAGGATACCGACGGTGGCAGAGTGGTAGGTGGTCACGTCCTGGTTGTGGCCAACGTTTTGCGAGCCGGTGATGACGGTGGTTCCCATCCCCTCGCCTAGCAACACCAGATTGGTCTTCTCGAACGGGACTCGGACGGTCTCCTCGTACACGCCGGCCTTGACGACGATGACGAACCGATCCGAGGCGAAATCAGGCGCGGCGGCCACCGCGTCTTGGACGCTCTGGTAGTCGCAAGATCCGGTCTTGCACACGGTAGCATTTGGAGGCCGGTCCGACGGGAAGGTGGTGGCACCATTGGCGGGTCGGAGGGAGCCGCTGCCGCCGCCGGCTGCGACGGCGGGGGAGTCGCCCCAGTAGCCGTCCCGCTCGGTCTGGGGCGGGACCCAGAGGGAGATGTCAGCACCGAAGCGCTGAAAGGCGGCGATCATGGAGAGGGCATTGCTGGTGAGGGCGGCCAGGTCGAGGAGGGAGTCCATGCAATCGGCGACGCGGCGGGTAGAGTTGACGTACTTGAAGGCCGACCAGCAATCGTACTGGTAGAGGAGGGCAGCACCGGCCCAGGCGCGGGCGTCGGCGAGGCGGCCAGCGGGGAGGGCGGCGGAAGCGGCAGACAGGCGGCGGTCGGAGAGGGAGAGGTGCTCGAGGCAGTCGCGGGCGGCGGCGGCGCGAGCAGGGTTTGCATCGGCAGAGGCGAGGATGGACTCGGCTTGGGAGCGGGAGGAGGGGAGGGCATCGGAGGGGGCGGCGACGGCGGCAGAGAGGAGTTGGAGGGCGGAGGGGCTGGAAGGGAGGTCGGGGGACTGGGAGAGGGCAGAGTGGCAGGAGGACGGGAAACGGGTGGCCCCGCAGGCCTGGGCAATCTCCGGCGGGAGCGGAGGAGGGGAGGAGGGGGCGGAGGAAGGGAGGATGAGAAAGAGGAGGAGGAGGGGGAGGGAGAGGAGTGCAGCCATGGTGACGAAGAGGAGGCGAGGGCGAGGAGGGGAAGTGTTCTGGAATTTCCTCATTAGTGGAGCTTGGCTTTATCAATGGATGGATCCACGGAGGGGGAAAGGGACAGAGAGTGTCACGGGCGGCGCAGTGGGAAGGACGCCGTGGCCACTGTGAAAGAAGAAAGAGGCAGGACCGAAGCACTGGCTTTTTTTTTCGGCGAGTAGCGACGGCAGAAGGGGTGGCGTGTCTCCATCTTAACGGAGATCTGTTACTGAATCCTGTTCGTTGTAACAAAATAAACATCGCTAACATGGGCTCAGACCCTGCTCGGTCACAGCCAACAACGAGGGCCCGCACGAGGGCATCCTTCTCTGCAATCCCGGAATAGGTAGGCGAAACGGGTAGATAGTGTTTCCTCCCCTTTACGCGGAGAAATGTTCTTCCACCAAACACAGAGACGATCCGGAAATAGTGACACGTTGATAGCCAATCGTGTCAAAAACCAAACCTACGAGGAGGTCGTGGTGGTGGCTCGTGAAATGGTAGGTGACGTGACGTGGGGTGCGGTGCGGTGCGGTAGGCCTAAACCAAACAATGACGTTCGTGGATGTTTGCGTGCTCTTAGCCCACAAGGGACTATATATATATATATATATATATATATATATATATCCAAATGCAATTAGATTAACCGATCTTTAAAAATCCGATAGACATAATATAAATATGAACTCTTCTTATTTTGACAATTGAAACAAGAGGGTTTCGCTAGAGAATAAACTCAAACATGACAAAGAGACACTAGATCAAGGATATCATATCATTATGAACTATCTCAGTCAATCATTTAGATGAATAGAGATGATTATTATCATAACAATCATCAAGACATTTGGAAAAAACGATAAAAAGTACTTGAATGAATCATAATTAGTTTCAAACTTTTTTATAAATTAAAATTTAATTAGAGATACAAAAGAATAATCATTAGTGAATTAAGTTTCTATAGATAACTCATCAGTTTTAATGCTTTGAAGTGAAGGAGAGGCATAGGTTCTGGTATTTTGTAGTAGAACCAGAGATAGTTGATAAATCAGAAAAGATGAACAATGAAGATTAAAAAAAAATAAAGATAACATATATAAGTTATAAAATCCCTTAAGAAAGATCAAACTCAGTTGTCAAAATTTTGACCAACATCTCAGCAGGCTGATTTCCATCTGAATTCATTCATTGCACACCAACAACCTGATTTCCATGGCTCCAGTAATAGTTGGAAGCACCTACAACACCCTCCAGTCATCCTAAATCTCTTTGGGTCAAACCCTTCAACTCTCTAACCACATACCATGACTCCAACCATTACCCACCATAGGATCATTAACAACAGGTAAAGAATTAACAGCATCAATGGAGCAAAACATGGGCTTTCTACTGATGAGAATGTCAAAAATTCAAAAGGTAGTCCCTAATATATTTTCACTTAGGAGACGTATCCATCTGAGTAGGTTTGTCCTATAAAAGAAGCTGCTGATTGTGCAGAAACTTTCTGGGGGAAGGAGGAAGAACATGAGAGGGATGTCTCAGAGCTAATGATAAGTGTGATGGATACCAAGAGAAAGTCACAAGCTTTTTAATGAATATTATTATTCTCTTGTTTTGCCTGATTTAATAAGATAATTCCTTGTCATCTTTTTATGGATTGACCAAATGAGAGACAGCAGCATGCATGAGCAGAAGGTTAGTATTCCTCCTCCTCCTCTCTCTCTCGTTTATCCATCTTAAGAACCACCATCATTTCTTATGGTCCCAAAACATGGTCAGTAGTCATCTACCCCACAAATTGTGATTCAAGCTCCAGGGAAGGTCAAATCTTCTCAGTAGCTCATGCATGCTGTTGTCTCTCGAAAAAAGATGATGAGGGTTGAATCAGGCCAAACAAGAGAATAGTAACCTTCATTAAAAAGCTTGTGACTTCCCTTTGGTATCCATCACACCTATCATTAGCTCAACACACCCCAAAACACATAGCATTGAGCCACCTCCCTCGTGCTCGTCCTCCTTCCCCAGAAATTTTGCGGCCATGCCATGTGGCATTGGAGTGGTGAAGCATATGAGCCTCCTCTCTGTCATCTTTGATCCCCACTAACGGCTCTTTCTTTTCCTTCTCCCCCTGCTTTAATGAGTCACATTAAAGGGCCACCCACCCTCCCCAAGGCCAAAGCTCCCCACATTTGGATTCAAAGTCTGTAAACCGAGCTTGAGCAAGCATGGTGGTCACGGCCAAATCATTTATAGCACTCCCTTCCCTGCTCTCGCTGCCTTCGAGGTCTCAAACTTCCTGCTTTGTCCCGTCCTCTCCCCGGATTCTACGTGCCTCATCCCAACAGACCTTGCAGATCTTTTCTGGATCTCTTTACTTGCGGCAGACGTGATCCACCGCAACAGAAATCTTGACATTTATTTGAAGTTTGATTTTGGATCGTATAGCCGCAATCTTATCCCACTCCCCTCCTCTCCTGTTTTTATCTCTGAGAGGACGGCCAAAGGAAGGGCAGAGAAGGGAAAAGCTGGTGCCTTTCTCTAGCGGAGTTGCCAGATGGAGCGGTGGTGGTGTTTGATGGTGGTGGTGGTGGTTGTGGTGGCGGTGGTGGGGAGGAGAGGGGAGGGCTACCCGGAAGAGGACCTGGTGGTGAGATTGCCTGGGCAGCCCAAAGTGGGGTTCAGGCAGTACGCGGGGTATGTGGATGTCGATGAGAAGGCGGGGAGGACTCTCTTCTATTACTTTGCCGAAGCCGATGGAGATGCCCACGCGAAGCCGCTCACCCTCTGGCTCAATGGCGGTTGGTGTTTGATGGCCTTCCTTGTTGCCAAAGTCACTCTTTTCTCTTCCTTCTCGCTTATATTTCCGATCATCTTTGATGTACTGTGGGTGTCACGATTGCTTCTTTTTCATGTCTTGTTCTCTCTTGCGATCGTTTTCGTATTGTCTTCATCAAAATTGTTCTTTTCGCATTGCGGTTGTTCCTTCTTGCGATGGTTTTGGTGGTTTTTCTTACTGTTCTATTGTCGGCATTTTCTCGATTGTCTAGTCTAGTGGTAACCAATGTTGTTTCTTTAGGCTCTTGGATCTATGAACTGCTTCTCGGCCTTGATCTTGTTAAAGATTGTTCATATTCTTTTCGTACTTTTGTGGATACTTCGTACAGTCTGCTTTTAATTTTAGAACATTATGTTGGCTGTCAAGCGTGGACTATCTCCACTGTTCAAGTTTTAATATATTTAATACTTTGCATTACTTCTGAAAGTATCTACTTTATTATGCCATTTGTGAGCCTAGTTTTCTTGGTTGACCTGGAGGATAAGCTAGGAGAACACTCATTTCATGCTTGGTTCATCTCAAAGATACAAGCAAATTGCTTTGTTTGACATCTCCTGCATCGTGCATCATTGTATTTGTTTGATCCCCACCAGTGAAGCAATATTCTTAGTGGTCTTCCTCGAATCCATTGATAGATTGCTATCCTACTTTGTTTCTATTATGTAGAAGAAAATAATAGTCATGTGCTATATTTACTGGAATGTTTATCCTTCTCTGCTTCTCTATATCCCAGGTTAAACTTCAATTTCCATGAAAGAAGATTTTTTTGGTCCAAAATCCTTGTCCATATTTCTCCATGACTAAAGATAAAAAATCAGGAGTACTATCTAAAAATGGATCTTAAATAAGAGTTGCAAAGAATTATACTGAACTTTTATGTAGGGACCTTCTTGCAACAAAAAACCTTGCTGCAAAATGGAGAAAGTTTCATTCTAGAAAGCAATAAGGTGATTTGAACATCCCTCCTAAGATACTTCAGGAACAGAAATTCCTAATCTCTTCATGAGAAAATGGCTGATGGTGGTTAATTCCAAATCTATAGTAAGCCTCACAAACTCATTATCATTCCACAGTTTAGAATAAAGATCAACAAAAGCATTCTCAATATCATGGTGATCATCCAGATGAAATCCACAATAGTACAAATAGCATAAATTTGTTACCTATGTTGATAAATCATGGTGATTTTTTTAAAAAGCTAGTGTTTTTACGCTTGAGTAATACAGTAAAAAAAAGTCTTGAAACCCAATACTGTATATAATCATGGCAATTGGCAGCCTATCCTGGGTGCACTATATGTGCCTTGTGAAGCTCGTTATTCCTACACATAGCACATCAAAAGAGGAGCACTCTGTTGCCATTTGAAAAGAATACAGGTGTGCTCTTACCCTTTTTTGGGTCTAGTGTTACAAACAACTAAGATCTATTGTCTGTAGTTATAAACTATGATTATACTCCAATGTCATACTATTCATGTTTCTTGCTATTTTTGTGTTTTCACGTTAGTGCATAATAGTATGAAACATTTGATATATTGCCTCATCTTTTCTCAAGACACCTTTACTTCAATATGTCTTCTAAGATCTTTTACTTGATCTCAGATTTGTTCTCTTTTCTGTTTTTTTTCTCTTTAGTTGCTATATATATATATATATATATATATATATATATATATATATATATATATATATATATATATATATATGTATGTATATATATATATATATATATATATATATATA